GGAGCGTACGGGTGAGCGGGTGGCGGCGATCGGGCCTTGTGGCACTGCCGGGCGCGCGCGCAGACCCTCGACGCCGCTTCTTGGAAGCTGCGCGTCCGACGACGCGGCGGCGCTGCGCGAGCTGCGCGCGGGGCCCGCGGCCGGTGCGGCGCCGGCTCTGGTGCGCGAGGACTCGCTGGCTTGCGCGCCCGCACTGCGCGCGCTGCGCCTCGACGACCTCGACCTGGGCGCGGAGGCGCTCGCGCTTGCGCGCTGCCCGCCCTCGCCTGCTACGAGTTTGGCCGGCTGCCTACTGCCCCGGGTGAGTGTTCCGGGCACGCCAACTGCTACGGCATCTTAGTCCAGATTGTAGTGAAATGTTTTCCGCGGAAGTGGTGGTCCTCCACTGCTGGTGTAAGGCGGGCGCGCGTGGCTATAGGTCTAACGTACGTTAGGTATCGGACTGTTTAGTACCAAGTTCGCGGATCAAACCCGATAGAGCCTGGATTTTTAAGGGAAAATATCTACGTAAGCTTTCCTTCGGAAGGGAAGTAAAGCCGGCTGTCGCACGTTAGTACAATTTTACTGTGCATGTAAAGATCCTCAAGCCTAATTATCGGTCTGAGTTAAATTCATTCGTCTGTTTCTTGCCCAAGAACATACTTCTTTCTCTGTTAGTTGTGAAAGGAGCGCTAGCCAAAATTTGGGTGGTCAGATGGAAGTTGCCGGGCACTGCCACTTGCCCATGGTTGTTTAATATAATCTGTGATTGATTAGGCATTCCGGAGATTCAATGGCTATGACGGACAATTGATACCGTACTTATAGTTGCTTGTTGGTTCTGAGGAAAGAGGTGGCTGATTCATCTCTAGGATGGAAAGATCTGGCACTGAACCTAACCGGCGCCTGGCGGGGTTTACCCCAACAGGTATCTCCACCAGCAAGGGGCAACAGCTCCAGCGGGACAAGCACTAAGCTCCCGACTGGTTCTCCGTCAGATGTGTTAGTGTAGTGAATGTAAAATTAATGTATGTAAGGTGAGAGTAGGGGCAAGGAAGGGAAGGAAAGTTACATTGCGGTCGTGCCCTTTGTTAGGGTACTTGTTCCGGCATTCGGGTGTTTGATCGGAAAAAACAATGGACACTACCGAATCAAAGCAGCAAGGACTACAATTCTCACTAGACAGTGCGATATTCGATCGAACTGTTGGTAAATGTCAAAAATTGTCACCGGCCGGAGTCGGGAACATTCGATGCATCGAGCAACAATGCTAAAACTCAGCCAGACCCTCGAAAGATAAACTCGGATCGGTTATTGGAAAAGAGCACCTCATTATGAGTGCATAACGATATCGTTTGAAGGTATTTCCATTCTCGCGACGATAGTAGAAAACACTGTTAATTTTTAGCAATTGCCACATTGTCTTCTTCAGTACAAGCTTTAATCATATTTTAAGTTTAAAATTTAAAATGCAAATTTATTAGAATATGAGGACATTCGCATTGAAACTGGATATCCAAAAAAGCAGCAAAATAATCTTTATTAATTGTTTTCAACAGCACACTAATTTTTTTCTCTGGGAGGGAGAATGAAGGCTCCAGCTCAGTATAATGTTCCTGCTGACTGGAATGTTATTTACTAAGAATTTCTATTTCTCACTGATATAAAAGTTCATCATTTCTTGTTGTTTTACTTAACATTTATTACTTCTAAATTATTATGTATTGAGTGATTTTCGTTTATAACAAAAATTATAAAAAGCTGTAATCCTGTCTTCTGGATAGGGTAGCTGTGTCCCCAAGCCCTCACTTTGGCCGCATTGATTATTTTTAATTCTCCGATCCCCACGTGTTCAGAGATGTTCCAATCGACGCCCCGCTGGAGAGCTCTCGCTGCGGCGGCTGCTTTCCTCAACGGGCTGCCGCGGGACTGCCCGCGCTTCGCGCCTGCGCTCGCTCAGGTACGGAAACCAGGGCTACCGCCTCGGGTGACGGCCAGGACCAGCTGTCGCACCCGTGTCGCCCTCGAGGCCCTCCGGCCTCACGCGCACCCACCGTCGACGCGCTCCACGCTGCGCGCGCTGCCGCCCCTGCCGCCACCTACGTTATGTCGGCGTTGCTCGATCTCGCCGCACGCCGCCGTGCGCTTCCACCGACGGCGACAGCCGGCCCTCGCCGTCGTCAATTCCCGGGCACTGGAGAAGCGACGCCTCTGCGAACATGTGGAGCACTTCCCCGGACACTGGCTGAGGGAAGGCAACTCAGGGTGGTCGGACTGTCCGAGAATGTGTTCACCGAGTTGGCCGCTCATACGAGTGTGTACATGGGGTTCGCTGGGATCTATCGCAAAACTCGCTGAAGACGGTGGAAAATCTTGCGGAGACTCAATACCACCGGAAGAAATTGGATCTGTCTATGAACGATATTTGCTCAATGACATCCTGAGGTTTTCTTCTGCCCCAAATGCCACTGATTTCGACTCGGACTTGAGGTATTGCGTTTTCTGCAGTAGAGTAAATAAGTTAATAATGTAGCCAATGGAAGATTTGGATTCACAGTCTGCAGCGAAATAAAAAATGGATAATTATTCAAAATTTAGTATGAACCAGTTCACGGTTATGTCGATTCCCTGTGTCAAAAACCCGTTACGATTTTGTAATATTGCCACCATTTTAATCTAATAAGTTATATTTAATTTAAATGTGGGCGAAAGAGAATCATTCGAGAGCCAAAAATAGTCATAGTCGTGCAGGTCCGGAAAACTCCACCAGCCCCGGAACTTGTCGAAGGGCGCTGAGGAGCTCCCGGACTCTCCAGGAACATGATGGAAGCACTTCCCCGGCCACGGCTGGAGGACGCAACTCAGGGTTATCTGAGAATGTGTCATCGAGTGGCGCTCATCCGAGGATGCTGACATTGGGTCACTGATTTGTCGCAAAACTCGTTGAAAGGCGTGGAAAATTTCGGAGACTCAATAACCACCGTCAGAGGTTGGATCTGTCTATGAAACGATATTGCTCAGTAGGACGAATCTTGAGGTTTTCGGTGTGTCCAAATGCCCCTGATTTCGACTCAGACTCTGAGCATATCGTTTTGCATTAGATATATAGTTAAAAACGTTAGCCCCTGGGAAGGAATTTTGATCTACAGTCCAGAGCAAATAATTAATGAAAGTCTGCCAAAATGCAGTATGATCAGTTCACGTTTATGTCGAGTCTCTGTTTCCCAAAACCCCTTAAGAGCTTTCTATTATTGCCATCATTTAACCATTAATTGCCATATGTAATTTAAATTGGGCGAGCGAG